ATATATATATATGTACACGTACTAGGTGTTGTGGTGACTAGAGTGTTTCGAGCAAACGACGGGTTCAAGGCCGGTCTCGTAATTAATAAAAAAATAAAAAAAATAAAAAATTAAAAACCACGCCTTGTGCCTTTGTACGTACAAATAAGTTACGTGTATTTTTCTTTTCGTTTCATAGATTGTGAGCTGAAAAAAAAGAAATACAGTTGTAACGAATTGTTGTTGAGGCAAAAATACGAAGGAACGTTACACGAGCAAAGTGAGTGTACCTACAAAAATATATGTGTACTCGGGCAAAAACACTTGACTCGATCTCCAAGTATTTCCAGTAAAGTTTTTTTACCCTGGAAAAAAAGGCTCTAGCTGCTTTTCCCGTTCGCGACCGTCCGGGGAACTTTTTCTCTGATTTTGAAGTTTTACGCGTGGGTACGATGATAATGAACGGTAAACGTATATGTATGTATATATGAGCACTATAATCGCCACGAATGTCATTTTCTAAAACACCATGACAAACTACCACTGAACAGACCAAATGGTGGGATTACATAAAATTTTGTTTACATTCCGTGGGTTTGTTGAAAAAATAAAATATCAGCTGATTTTAACACCATTAGAGAAAATCCAAATTAATATTTTAAGCCCCGCAGACCTATATGTGCGTGTTTGGCTTAGCTATCAAATTCAATGTTCGCATTATCTGCAGCGCCCTGCAGTTTGCGATCGAGACAGTTCTAACTAGAATATATATATATATATATATATACAAACGACTTTTTCCTCAAAAAGAAAAATCTGAAGCCGCGCACTGCATTCGACAAAGGCAGAAGAAGAAGATATTAAACTTGCGCATCGTTCATCTCGCGCCCAGCAAATACATGTGCACCAATACACCAGTATATCGCATCCTAATCTCTCTCCTCCGCTCATTGGAGCGCTGATTCTCGGAATCGCCAAAAGTGGTGGACGGCCTTGGCTGCACGTTGCAAATAATACATATACATAGGTACCCTGCAGCCACTCTTCCCCCCCAACCAGTAATTTTTTTTCTTTCTTTTTTTCGGTCCCCTTCTCTTCCATGCAGGCGGAGATTAGAGTGCGTGATGTGCGCGAATGTGCCCCACGAGCAGACCCTCCTCTTTTTAAATTCCAGCTTGGGTTTTTCCCTCTTACATATTATATTGTAAATGCGAGTGTGTTGAAATAACGCGTTTGAACCTATCAGTATTTATTTATTTATTTATTTATTTATTTTTCGTTAATGGACTCTCGATGGATACAAAAATACGTCCACTATAAGTTACAACTAGTTCACCAGCTCCACACACTGGTATAAATGTTATTTTGTGAAACAGTATAGATAAAGGACAGATACATTTTGCACGCAACAATTTTTCATTTTTCAAGATGATTCAGATTTCAGTACTGAAGACTGGTGAGTTGCTTGTTTTAAGTTTTACTCATCAACGCGATCTCAATAACTCTAAAAAAATAATCGATTTCAACCACACGCATTAGGCGTTTGTGCCAAGACAAAGAAATCAAATCGGTAAAAGGATTAGGATTGCGAGTAAAAAAAAAAAAAAAAAAAAAAAAGAGGGGGAGGGGTAGAAATTTTGTAGTTAAATCGACACTCACCTGTGAGACTAGGCTTCTTCGAGTCACCGATCCTCTTGGGTGGTGTTCTGCTCTTCGGCAGTCGCGTTGGAAACGCAAACATACCCACAGAGACTAGAATCAGCAGCGAGGATATGAGGACCAAACCTGTCGAGGGGGTTAACAAGAAAAAGGGTCAAATCAAATGATCTTTTTTTTTTTTCTAAAGCACATCCCCAATAACATTTTCTCATCGATAAATACTCCGCGTAAAAAAATGTCTCGCGAGCCGATGCATCACATTTTACGCATCGGTAGAATCAATACGATGCCGAAGGTCGCGGCGGCAAAAATAACCCTCCCCTCGATCGGAGCCTCTAATTTCCTCCCCCCCCCCCTCACAACTGACAATATATTCGGCATTGGGAGAAATTGCGACCTTGTAAGTTCGCGGCGTGTCTCTTCGTTCAAGCTCGTTAGAGTGGACTCTCTTTTTCTTTTTCATCCTTTTGTGCGCGCATTAAGCTCTCGTTCAGTACCCGATCTTCTTTCGCGTCTCACGCCACATCGGCCTCATTGACGGCCCCCCCAAATTGTTCGCAAGGCCGCAAAACAACGCCGATCGGCCCCTCTATCCGATGTCATACACAAAGTAGGGCGACGGCGGGAAAAAATTCAATTAGCACTCGATGCATTGATCCTTGAGCAGCATCAAATTTTCATTTGATTTATCGGAGCGGCCAAACAGTAACTCACCGAGCCACCAGGCGCCCATCCATCTCGGGTCCGAGGGAGTGATCGGCGGATTGGACGACAAGTCGACGTATACCATGGTGCAGAGCGAGCCGAGCATGAAACCCATGGCCGGGCCGAGGATCCTCACACCGATGGTTATGGCTGAGTGAAAAAAAAAAAAAAAAATGCCAAAGATAAAACAACGTCGTCTTACCGATAAGCCAATGGTATGGTTATTTACCAAAGTAGAGCGGGCTCTCCCGGCCGGCGACGTTGTCGTCGATGTAGGGTATTCCGAGGGTGTACACGGTCGTCTGGCCCATGCCGACCCCCAGGAGCGACACGAAGAATATGGCGAGGACTATGGTGACGATTTTCTTCTGGATCTGCCGGTCGGCCAAGAAATCGCCCTTGCAGTAGGCGTCGGTGTCGGTCCGCTGCTCGTGGTGAGCGTACACGGACCACCTGAAAATTTCACCACGTGTTTTCATGGCTCGACGTGTAAACATCGATACAAAGTATTACACGCTGCAACCGATTGAGCTTATTGTACCCTAAATAGTGTATGGAGCTCGATGACCGTGAAACGTGTGTATAAGGCATCGGCCAATGATGATGCATGGCACTCATGAGACACGAGAATAAATTTGATCTTGGCCTTAATCAAGGCGACCACGCGCCGCTACTCTCTCTCTCTCTGTCTGTGTACGGCTCTGTTTGTCAACCTACGTGTATTTTTATTGTTTTGTTCGCGTTAATTTTTTTTTTTTTTTTTTTCGCGACGAGACTGAAAAACCGTAGTCGTAAGCGAAGGACTTTTCGGTGATTTGAAATTCTACAATGTGGCTCATAGGAAGAACGAGGTGATACACCGAAATTTATCGTTTCCGGCAAGTTGTGCGCTCGGAGAGCGCGTGGGTGTTTTTGGTGGGTGATGACACCGCCGAGAAAAATTTCGTCGTCTTTTGAAATTCGAAGACGACGATCGGATGTGCGGAAGGGTACGAGCCACGCAGATTTTCGTGAAGAGAGTCGCGAGATTGATGTACTCATTTGTACCTTATTCGCGTGCATTGTGAAATTTAAAGCTTGTACGTTGAGAGAGGGATAAAAGTCGCTATGAGCTATATATGGTTACAGTTACACGTCACGTACATCACGCGCCGGTCAGCCTCCGCAAGGTAAACAAGTTTCAAGAGACGTATCGTTTATAAGGTATACATGTATATGGGCACTATGTGCAGCTGGTATTGTTGAAAAAAAAAGAAAAAAAAAAGAAGCATTCTATCTACAGTTTTTACACGCCAAAAAGGTACAGTTTTATGGTAACCGCAACTTAAAAAATCATTGCACTAACGACGATCGAGCTCATTAGTATCTCTTTAAATTTGAAATAGTGAAAATTTCACTATTTTAGCGAAAGTGATCGAGATTTCCACTGGAGGTATAGTAAAAAATCGGAGTTGTTTATTTGCATTCAGTCGACATAAATTTCAATTCTAAATATTCATCAGTAATTCAACGAACTATCTTGATCCAAATGCAGACGATTGTACAACCCACACACATTATTTCAAGGGGTACCAACAAAAATTTTACAAACTAATTTAAATAGTAAAACGTTAACTTGGCAGAAATAGTGAATATTCACCGTTTCGCAGTAAAATCCACTATTTAACAATGGATATTCACTAGTTCGAATACGTTATAGCTGTTTTACTGTTAAAATAGCATATATATTTTAAATTTAGAGAGTATAAGGTAGGCTGAGAGTGAGGTATCACTTGGAACTTGAAAAAAAAAAAAAAAGCAACTCACGAATTAATACTCGCGTTGTCGTTGCGATCGGCGTATTTGCATAGATTAGCGGGTATGGGCAGACTGAAATTCGTCCCGTTGACATCGCCGCTGAGGGTGCCACCGTTGAAGAGCAGCTCGTTCTGCTTGATGAGCTGATCGCCGAAGATGAAATGGGGTAGCGAGCAGGTGAAGGACGAGACGGCAAAGAGCACCATGCCCCAAGCTATCCACCTCGGCCTGTGGCCCTGGCCCCCGTAGTACGTCAACAGAAGGGACGAGCCGATCTGGCCGATCTCGGTCGCCGACATGATCAGCCCCGTCGTCTTTGACTGGATCTGGAAGAGCTTCTCGATCGTCGTTATCACCGAGACGAAGTACGTGGAGTACATGCCCTGGAGAACCTGGATTTTTCACGCGTGGACAGAAAAAATTAACAAGCTCGGGTTAGAATCGACCGTTGCCACATAAATGGTCATGAATTTAACTTTTTTTTTTTTTTTTCTTCTAAATTGTCTCGAGTGCTTGAGGAGCTTTGGCTAGTCAACAATGAGTTTGACATGATTTAAGAGCGAATTAAACAAAAGGGTACTTCTGGCCATTAAATGTTCAACAATGTAACAGTTTGCGTGATGTACAGTATGGAAAAAAATACCCCCAAATGATGGGGCCATTTTTCGTTGACTGTACGCATGAAAATTGGGACTATGGCTTTAGACGCGCTTATACTACACATTTAAAAAGTACAGTCCAATTGGCAATAAGCACAATAAACTTTCGAAAATACATCGTCAAACTCGATGAAGCAACATCCTCGACAATATTCCAGTGCTTAAGCGCAAAACACCTCAAGCACCGAGCATTTTAACGAGAAAACCAACAGCACACGTTGGATCGGGCGTACCCAGGTGGCGCAGAATATAACGAGGAACATCTGCTTGGTGGCAAAGACCTGGAGCCAGGCCGGCTTGAACGGCCCCCAACCGCAGGTGATATCGTCCATATCCTCGAGCTCATCCGTCCGGAAGCTGCTCGACTTGTCGTCCGCGCAGCCCTTGCCGTTCTCCAGCGCGACGATCTCGTGCTGCTGGTCCTCCTTGCACTTGCCGTTCTTCGCGGGTATCGAGCCGTTGTTGTTGTGCTTCCGTGGCTTGTCCTTGTGGACCCCGTTGCCGTTCGTCAGTTTGCCGTTCGCCGGGATGATCGTCACCGGCTCGCCACTGCCCCCGTTGGACAGCGTCAACTGGTCCTCGCCCGCCATTGTGACTTCTTCGAGGTACGCAGGTACAAAGCAGCCCGAGAGAGGCCCAAGTGGTGATAAAGGGGGCTGCTGGTGCTTATGGGGCTTGGGTGCGGTCGGCTAGTCCAAGCTGGGACGCCAATTCTGCCTGAAACAATGAAATCACAAGCTCGTTTATTCGGCACACAGGTGGAATGTGATCAAGCCGATGGCTTACTCTTAATTGTAGAATAGACACTGCCGTGTAGGTATTGTGTGATGATATTTAATATAATGTAAGATATACGTGACGCGTGTGATGCTAGTATGATATCCTGTACGTCAAGTGATGAAATTACGAAGCGAGAGAGATGAGTAGGTACGTACACAAAAAAAAAAAAAAAAAAAAAAAAAATACTAGGCATGTATATACCCACGTCTATATGAGAAACGAGGAAATTCAATTCAACCCATTATTTCAATAGAACAGGATAGCTTTGCTATTGAATGAACCTACATGTATTTGAGAATGTTCTTTCGCTGTACCCCACATTTTTGTTCCCAAGACACTAATTTGTTCGAACAAAGTGCCCAGAGGGTATAATTGTCGTATAAAAAGCCTATACGACCTCTTAGATGAGGAATCATCAGTTACACAAACATAATGTTTTCTAACGAAGTCCCGGGGGTGAGGAGAAGCCACACATATTACGAATGATCCAGATTCCTTTCGGGTTCTTCGAGAACCTCCCAAAGTTACCGAGGTTCGCGTTAGTTGGAGACTTTGCGACGTGTTATTATTCAGGACGATGCCAATTTCCTTGATCTCGTGCCCAATGTGGTACGGGCAAAAAACCACCAGCGGCGTGTACATTAACGCGTCAGATCACTTAATCGGCCGAGATTGAGCGAAACAACTGTACTTACGAGCCATCGCGGAGCTTCCTTATATATTTTTCGCACTCTCTCTCTCTCTCTATGAGGTCGAGGAAGTGGAAAATACAACAACACCCGGAGAGAGGGGAACTGTATACCATAAATTAAAAAAGACCACAGACGACGGAACAATATTATACCTTCCTCCCTATGCAATCGTACAGCATAAGTAAACTGATGCGTATGCTGAGAGGAACTGAAAATCTCGCTAAAGCGAGAGTTGATGGATACATCGTCGTACAGTAAAACATATACCGCATTGTAATGTTACAGGTTTCGCGAAGTAGTGCGACTACCTTATACATATTACAGACACGCGTGCAACCGTCAGGTGGGAGGGGGGGGGGGGCGAAGATTAATCGAGACTGAAATGAAATTTATTGCGCCTTTGCGCAATGTTAGCGTCTCGCGCGAGAAAACAGTGTGTCTATCGACGATAGGTATGTAGACATTACCATAGATTTTTTGTTAACCAAACTGAAAAAAAAAAAAAATAAATAAAAATAAAAAGAAAGATATCTATGCATAAAACACAGAAATGAAAATAACAAGAGGAAGCTGTGGTCTATATGTCTGGCTGCATAGTGGAAATCCCCAAAGGATACCAAACGCAGGTACTTGTGGGTGTAAATGTGTCTCGTTCAGCCAAGGAAAGTCGAGCGAGTTCCCTTCTGTGTGTGTACACGACTCTTGTAAATATATACATTTTCACTTTCAACGAACGACGACGACGACGAGAGGCCGACTTTCCTTCTTTTATATAGTACCTATATGTGTATATGTGCGAGTATATATATATTTACAACAGCAATGGTATACTCATTGAGTGATGCAGCTGATGCAGTAGCGGCTGGTTGCAATTGACGCGTAAAATGAAGTTGCGGTTTTCGCTGTCGCTTCGTCAAAGATTAATACTTATTATCTTTGAAGTATAGATCTATACTCATTCTTTAAAAACGTGTTTTGTTTTTTTTTTGTTTTTCTGTTCAATACGCGAATTTGAACTTACGCGTTTATAAAAACAATTTTTTTGAAAAAAAAGTCAGAACTATCCAAGATTTCCAGGTATTACATTGAATTGTATTACACATAAGCCCCCATTTATTCGAGCACTGAAGCTGATATAAAGTATCTTTTAACAATACAGTCATGCAGGATGGTAATAACGAGGACTAAGTATACAACTCGATTCTCGTGGTAATTCGTATTATGCATTACACATGGGTATCAGACACGACGATAGTGCAGCAAGATAAAGTTGGTAATGAAAAAATTTACACACATAGAGAGAAATTTATCCAATAGTCTAATGTGCACACCCATTGTTAGGATTTGTGTTTCCTGTTGTTGAATCAAACGACACTTTTGTTGATATGCGTATATCGATACAGGGACAGGGACAAAAAGAGAGAGTCGGGACAATTACATTTTTCACGTCCGAGAGAACCGGCGTTAGAGGGATATATATAATATATATATATATTTTTTTTTTTTTTATATTATAGTGCTTTACGTCCGGCTCCTATAAAGGGCACTACACAGGGCACTTAGCACTTGGGAGAAGGATAAGGAAAGGGATGGGAGGCCTCCCATTACTGGGAGGGGGGGTAGGGGGAAATTAGGCACAATTTTGCTGCGAGAAGGTTGCCTTAACCCTCCTCGAGGAGCATTGCGTGGTGAAAAAGCACGTGTGAAAAATCACAGAGGTACTTGCCCGAAAAAGTCGTACTATGGCCGGGGATTGAACCACGGTCTCCCGCGTCTCAATCCACAACCTAGCCGACTGAGCCACCGCGCGCTCAATATATATATATATACACGGGAGGAGCTCAACGGGAGGTCGTCGCGATGTAGGTATATATATACCTTGTGCGGCGCCGCGCGCTTTTTCCGTGAAATTTCGAAACCCAGCGAGAGCCGATTTCCGATAATCGTAAAACGGTAACCCCCGAGTGGTGGACAATTTGTTTCCTCGGGAAGTGAAAAGCACGCACATTTTTCTTTCGAGGTATCCCTTACTCGAGTTACGAGGAATCGAGACGAGAGGAGAAAACAAAATTTATTGTTAGAAAGTCGATTGTAAAAACGATAATATTGTGTTGCCTATACAATAAAACTCCCTCATTGTCCTATATAGACCGTGGAAGATCGGATCGTAATGAAATTACACTACACGAGTCAGGGGGTGGGAGGGGGGGGAAGACAGTAGCGGAAAAATTATTTAGTAGGCACAATAAAGTTAAGAATAACCACTCAAAGGCGTAATATATATCCCTATGGTACTTAATAGACACGCACGCGTATCACGTATATGTAATATGCTTCACCAGGATAAGTAAAGTTTTACAGGGTACTTTGGTTAAATGGATTTTAAAGACCATTGGGGACGGAGTATCGTTTTTCTTCGGATATAGTAGGTATATGTTGCCGCTTCGAGCCGTAATATGTCAGGTGTCGTGTGACATTGGATTTGAAAAAAAAAAAAAAACGGATTTTCTCCGGCATTGTGAGCACTGGTTCATATAAATTATACACACGTGTTACCTTTTTCGGGATAGTGATGTGTCTGTGTGTGTATTAACTTAAAACGTTGATATATATTGAGTACACAAATATATATGTAGCCCCCCGCAGCTGTGTATACGGTAAACTTGGCTGGGGCTCGATTCTCTAAGCGTCTCGGCAATGTTGAAACAACCATGTTCAATAGACGATACGCTTAGAGGATCAGGCCCCTGATGGGGTACACATTTTATCGCTTTAATTTCATAGCATCAACAGACTCTGCAAGTCTTCAGAAATGACACTAACATAGGTAAAAAACATAATGTAACCTATACCAGTTGTATATACAGAATATGTAGGAACTCCGTGCTCTACTCTCGAAAGGGGAGAGTTGAAACATTGGTACGTGTAACTTTTATTACAAGTACCTATAAACGATTGTATGCTAGTATCCATCGTACATATAATTTGAGCTTGGCTATCTTTGTTTGTTGTTTTTTTTTTTTTTTTTAATTTTTCATCATCTACCGGATGCGAATCATTTAACATTAGTAGGTTTGCTTGGAGAACGAAATCATTTTCGTTTCGAGTCGATGAAATAATTTTTATGTTTTTAAAAAATATACTTGCTATATGAGCGCAAAAGTGAACGAATAATCATGTTCATTGAAATATAAGGTACAGTTTATCCTGAGCGTGGTCAGTTTATTGGCTTATGTCGCTATGCAAAAGTACAGCAAGTGAAAGATCGAATGGTTCGAAACACATCAAATACCATGCACGTTCACTAATTAGCTGAATCGCAGGCTAGTAAGTGGGAACAGTGCCAGTGCCCGGTACAAATGATGCGTAGGTCACAAAAAACTATACAATTTTAGTACTGTCACCAATGTTAGTAATTTTTTTGTTTTATTGATATAATTATCATGGTTTCCTTTTTCAAGAAAAACCGAAAAATTAAATCACTTAATTAGCGGCTATTTCCAAATGCTCGATGGATCCAATCGAATGGTCGAGATAAAATTTTACGAATCAGTATGTATAGTTTGAAAATATATACTCATGTATAATATTTGCAAGATATAAACGCAACCAAAAAGAACAATAAACGACAAATAGTTTCATTAAAAAAAACCAATTCTACCAAATGATCCCCCTGTACGGGGCAAACCAAATGCCAAACGTAATCCCAATAATCCAGATCCACCGTGTATATTATATATATAAAACACCAAAAACTTCTCGTTCAAGGTGACTATTTTTTCCTTTTTTTTTCCGACCGCTATCTTCGCCTCCACGCGCACACGTACGCCCAGATAGACGGAGACAAGTAGCCCATACGTATATATAATATATGGTTGCGCAAGAGTTGTCTGTCGCGTCGCTATCTTGCCCCCTTGTACCCCTTCGATCATTCACGACTATACATCTGGGCGCGGCCGGCCTTTTTCCCCCCCTCCGCAGCTATCCCTGGATCAAAGTTTACTCTCGATAAGCTCGAGTCTCCACAGCTGTTGGTATACTTATACTTGCACGGTGCAGGGGAGGGGGGGGGGGGTTTAAACAAAAAGCGCGTCTCGTACAAGTGTAGGTACAAGTATTTTTGGGCTCGTCGCTCTGCACCTTTCGAAACTCTTGCTCCCAATATTTCTTTCTTCCTTCGATACACACGTATCATGTATTTGCAACTATATACTCTCGGGGAGGACTTTTTAACGTACTACCTTT